GGGGGGGGGGGGTTGGGGGCAGCGGGTGAGGGGAGCTTGGCGGCCGCAGGAAATCACTCCACGGGCGAAGTGTTTGAGACCTCTGATCTAAACTCTTTATTACAGTACCATATCAGCCGTTCCGTTACATTGTCGAGGATCTATGTCCGACTGACAGCCTACCATTACCAAGGTCATCTAAATTTACCTTTTTTTAAAATATCGCCACAACAAAAGTGTTCTTCCAGTCCTCTGGATATTCCCCAGTGTGCTAAGACTTGTTCACTACCAACATTAACAGTCCAAAAAGCAACAGAGAGTCCTGTGGCACCTTTAAGACTAACAGATGTATTGGAGCATAAGCTTTCGTGGGTGAATGCCCACTTCGTCGGATAATTAACAGTCCAGATTTCCTTTGATATCATGGATATCTATCCAGAAAACTCATGCACGCACATAAAAAGGAAGAAGTGTATAATAGAAGGGACAATTATATCTCTGATAGATTCATCCCTCTAGTTTTGTAGTTCCCAGAAGCAGGCATCCATTAAAGGATTTTTCAGCAGGTGAGTATCCAACTGAAGGCAAGTCCAAACTGCTTTGTTCTCCCTGTGGTAGTTGAAGTGTACATGAATTACTTTAACATGATTTAGCTGCACTGTCATTCACAGAAGACAGTCTTACTAAACCTTGGAAGAGAAAATGAAAGTAAATACAGTAAAGTAAGTGCAACAGGGAAGTAGCTGAATGCACATTACTCACTGTTAAGCAAACCTCTGATCTTACTGTGCCAAAGAGGAGATGATTGTCAGGGAAAGAGTCTGAATGAAAAATATCATTTGACCTCTTCACTGCCAGTGACTTTACTAGTTACATTAAGCAGATGTACATCTCAAGTGCTGCAGAACAGATCCCATGTGCTCTACTGATAAGACCCTACTGATAAGACAACAGCTATTTATATTTATATAGCGTCCTTCACAGAAATATGACAGAGCATTGCGTAGCTAAAATGATAAAATCATCAGCCCTTTGGCAGTTTAAAAGCTACAGTGATTTCTTCAGCCTTGCAGTAAATTAGATAGATTGGTCATCTCAAATCTATATCAATAGATAGAGAGAGATGCATTGCTACAAAACGGCCTTCCTCCATACAGCAGAGGGTTTTGTCTCTTTTTAACACTTTGGCAACACTTGTATAGCTTGTCATGCCAATCAAGTGTTATTAAATTGCAATGGGGGGAAAAAATGAAATGTTGACACCAGCTCCTAACTGGGGCAAACTAAAATACCTTGCTGAGCCTGAGAGTAACAAATGGTTGGAAACAGAGACAGAAAATCGGTTAAATAAATGGACTACAGTCATTCAAGACTTTAAATGCAGCAGAAGGACTTTAAAAATCAATGCCAAACTGGACAGGTAGCTAGTGCAACCATTTTAAAATGGAAGTAATATGCTGAAACAGCTATGTGGTAATAAAGATGCAAACTGCTCCATTTTCAAGTAGCTGCATCCTCAATATAACAAAGGAAGAGCTCTTGATAATAAAGAATTACAGTTATCTAACCTTGAAAAACTAGATTTTTAAGGAGATCTTGCTGAGCAATGATTAGTGGCATTTTAAACAGCCTCACAGGCGTAAATAGGAAAGTCCGGCAGTAAAGGGATTAATTAACTGGTCCCTCAAAACTTTAAATAACCATTACATTTTTCACTTGCCAGACAGAAAAGTTAAATAAGCAAAAGGAATATGCAAAGCAAGTTAAGGAGCACAACATGAAGAACGTTGCTACTGCACAGAAACCGCCAGCAAAACCTCAGATCAAGTCATCATTATCAAGACATAAGGTCAGACTATCAGATGGGGCTAGAACTCTCATTAAAGTGCGAGGGAGAGGGCTTGAGAGACTGGACTCTGCATGTGTCCATGGGCGTCCGAGAACCATGGAAAGTGAACTCCTAGAACAATTTTGGGTTGGGTGCCAAAAGATAGAGGGTCTCCCGCTGCCATTTTTATAGTTTTTTTTAAAAACAATCCCAGGCACTCCTAATATAGAAAGTTCCTCAAGGTCAGTTACCTATTAATTATTTTTGTACAATCCTCATTGTATTCCTTCTCTTGTCAAGAAATGTATCAGCCTTCAAACTAACCAGAAATGAAATTTGCAAGGGACTCCATTTAAGTTAGTCTAAGCTTTGATTTTAAAGTCTTCAGGAATATCTCAACATCTTATCATTTTAGGCCTTTTGTAATGTAATTTTTGAGGAAGGATGGGGGGAGGTCTATTATAGAATAAATCTCTGCTTTCTGAAACTTGCCACATTTAGGCTATGAGGAACTCACTGCCACAAGATATCATTGAGGCCAAGAGCTCAACAGGAATAAAAAACAGAATTGATATTTATAAAGGCATGTGAGAATATACAAAATTATAATAGTAAATACTATTTTTGTTATAAAAAGTTTTAGAATGGATATAAACCCTGCATGCTTCAAGGCATAAGGCAACCTCTAACTCAGGGATCAGCAACCTTTGGCATGCGGCCCGTCAGGGAAAGCCGCTGGTGGGCTGGGACGGTTTGTTTACCTGCAGAGTCCGCAGGTTCGGACGATCACAGCTCCCACAGGCCGCGGTTCGCTGTCCTAGGCCAATGGGGGCTACGGAAAGCAGCACCGGCCGAGGGATGTGCTGGCCGCTGCAGTTTCTTGCACCTGCCTCTAAAGCATCTGGTACTAGTCACTTCAAGATATGGAATTATTACATCATTAATCTGATCTAGTATGAAAATTCTTATGTTCTCCTGCCATTTTAAAAGTGTTGTTCTGATTTTATTGTTAATTTCAAACTTCTTTCAATCTTTAATATTATTAGGCTCTGGAATATGCTAAGAAGATTCCTAAACCAAAACCGTTCTCAGCAAAACGATCAGATGAAGAACCAGAAGAGGAAAGAACTCCAGCACATACTTTAAAAGGACAGAATTTACCTCAGATTTCCTCACTGAAAACTCTGCAAAACAGACATGAAATAGAGAAGCAAGTTGTGGCTGCTTTCAAAACCCTTCACATTTTATAATGAGTTTGAAATTATTAGAGAGCTGTAGAGGGTAGACAGTATCTGAACTGATTACGTGGTGCATTAAATTACGTATGTTTCCCAGATACAGTATTTCAGGACTCTGCTACTTAAATAAGAGCCTCTACCATCAAAAAAAAAAAAAAAAATGATTTCAAAAGGTGAAATATTTTCAGATCAATTGCCCTTATTTTAGTCCAATTTTATTATAGCCAAATTATTATTTTTTTTAAATGTAATCTTTATTTTAGAATTGTGCTTCTTCTTATTCTATTGTTTCCTTCCTTGGAATATCCTGATTAAGCTGCTGCCTCTTTCTGAGCAGTTATCCAGAAAGAGTGGCGAGTGAATTTAGGTGCCTGCAAGGTTCAGCAGGAGTTTTGTGAATTGCAGTGGAACCTAAACCTGGGACTTCGATGCCTAAACACATTTGTAAATCTAGATCTGTGTGTCCCATTAGTCTTTCCCAAAATGCTCATTCTTTTTATGCTGTGAAATCAACCTACAGCTACTTACTAAAACATTTTTTATATTTTACATAATGAACTTTTAAAAGTATTTCCATCAAATCTAAAAACAATCTGAGTGACTCTGTGGATGTGTCTATCGTTATTTCTTTTCTCTTAATATAACTTGAACTGAAATGAAAGCAGGACCATTTCCATGATGCTCACTGAGCCATTGACCAAAGAGACATGAATTAATGATAAAATATTTTAGCTCTGGCCCACGTTTCCATGACCTGGGGTAGACAGGTGTTAGAGATGTTATCAGCAGTATATGGTTAAAGAGCAGCTTATGTGTATATGGTGCTTTCCAAACACATAAGCCCTAGGCCCCGCTCCAAAGCAGCTTACTGCTGGTTTTAGACAGACACGTACAATACAATGGTAAAATAAGAGAGTCCAAAGATGGCAGAGGAAGATCTGCAGAGGAGGCTTCACTTACAGAGAAGGTAGACAGGTTTCAGAGTGGTCGCCGTGTTAGTCTGTATCAGCAAAAACAACGAGTCCATATGGCACCTTAGAGACTAACAAATTTATTTGGGCATAAGCTTTCATGGGCTAGAACCCACTTCATCAGATGCATGGAGTGGAAAATACAGTAGGAAGATATATATATATATATATATATATATATATAGCAGTACATGAAAAGATGGAAGTTGCCTTACCCAGTGGGGGGGGTCGAGACAAATCAATTAAAGTGGGCTATTATCAACAGGATGAAAAATCACTTTTGTAGTGGTAATCAGGGTGGCTCATTTCAAACAGTTCAGAAGGTAGAGAGAGCAGTGGGGCTTGATACATCAGCAGTTGGATCCAAAGCCCACTGAAGTCAATGGAAAGACTTTCTGCCTTATATGGGCTTTCAGTCATGGCCCAGGAGTGGGAAGCCATTCCAAATATAGCAGCATCATGAATAAAGCCATAAAGCTGAGAGTGGGAGAAGGTGACAAAGGGAGCGACTGAGAGGATTTGTAGGGCACAGAGTGAGTAGCAGGAAAGAGTTGGGATGTAGAGCAAGGCAAAATTGTGACGACTTTTGAAGGTGAGGACAGAGAGCTTGAACCGGATGCGATAAAAGAAAAGAATCTAGATTCAGCATCGTCCCATGGTCAGGGCACTGGACTAGGGTTGGTCCCTTGATTTCTGTTTCCAGTTCTGCCCCGGACCTGCTGTGTGACTTTGAACAAGTCACTTCAACTCTCTGTACATGGGTACTGCCCCTGCTACCCCCACGCAGATCCCCTGGGTATGTATTCAGATGGCTAGCCCAAGCTGCTGCCTGTTCCCAGCTAGCCTGCTATTTTTAGCGCACTAGCTCAAGCAGAGCTAGACTGTGCCTATCTGTTTGATCTGGGAAGCAGAGTCCCAGCTGCAGTGTAGATATGTCCTAAATATATGTACAGTGCCTAGCACAGTGAGGTCTGATCTCTTTGGAGCCCTTATATACTACATAAGAAAAATAAACTAGTTAAGAGATGTAAGGAGGGAAAGATGTGGTCAGAATGATGGGAAAGGAAAATGTAATCAATTCCTGTAAGGAAAAAAGACAGAATTCTGACTAGTCCCAGCAGTTAAGCCAGAGCTGATTCTTGCATGTTTTATATAATGAAGTGATCTCTAATTTTTAGACAGACAATCTTCCAGGTTTGGGACCTTAACCAGTTTTTAATTTAAATACTTGTACCAGTTTACTTTTAAATTAAATCTGGCACATCTTAAATTAAAAAAAAGGGGGGGGGAGACAACAACCTCATTGTATTACCTTAATATCCACAACATTTTCTTTCTTTAGAACAAAGAGGAAGCTGTTGGCAGATTATCCAGGAATGAAGCCAAACTAAAACGCTCCCAATAATGAAGAAAGTAAAACATGAACCAAACACAGGCCATCAATAGTGATACAATAATTAATTATGCAATTGTTGCTTCCTTATTGGTTAATGATTCATTGTCACTCACAACATCACAGCAAGCCCAGGAGTTTAGAGCCTCATCTAGCGCAGGAAAATGCAGACAAGTAATGGCTCTTCATCTAGACAATTTGTTATTAGCTAGGAGTAGTTTGAAGATACACTGAGAAACTGAGCAGAACACTGAGGCTAATCAAGAACTACACTTTTGATAGGAAACAGCCTTTAACAGATTAAGTATAAGATAATAAACAGATGTGATTCTTATGATGGTTCTGCTTCTTTAACTTGGTAAATGAAGAATTAAATCCACAGATGACACGTGAAGGAAACGCACAGAAAAGGAGTTTTGGAGAACACAAACTAAACATCTTTTTGAAAATAGGCAATTTCTGCAGGTTCTTGTTGACTCTTGGGTTTGTTTTCATTATACGTTGTCTGCATAATAGATATAGAATCATGGTCCTGGCTCCATAGTTATGATTACATCCAGATTCCATCATAAGCCCCACCCCCAATATATTTAACTGTGAATATTTGGCATGAAAATTGCCTGATTTACTCTCTGGGCAAAGGAGAATTTTCCTGACAAGTTTGAGAAGAAAAAACAAACATCCAAAATTCACCCAGATTTGAAATTTTGACCAGTATCTAAAGTTCCTTTGGATCCTACTAGCCCCAAAATGCCTAGTTACTGCCCCTTCAAACTTTCTGTGCAGTTAAATCGCCTTGAAAACAAATGTGCGAGTTCACTTTAAAAGAAAACAAGTTGTCATTAAGGCAAGTCATTAACAATAGCTGTATCTAATCAAAATGATGATACTGTATGTGTTGGAGCCGAAGTCCATAGAATCCTCTGGCCTAAGCAAAGTTTGGTCTTGTTGAAGGTATGCAGTGGAAGGGTTAATTGGGGAGCCGAGAGAGGGAATGTGAAAAGCTTACGTCTCTGTGGCTGCCCTGAGTTTTCTGTAAAAGGTAAATATGGAAATGAGTTCAGAGAAATATTTTAAATCTTATAATGGGTTAATTCTGGACTTTTCAATAGTTGGATGCAAACTCCTGCTAGGAGTTGAGGGTAATGTCACAAGTTAGCAGGAAGACCATTTTGCTTAATAAAGGCAGGCCATTGAAAGACTTCAGTTGACTTCTGTGGGCTTTGAATCCCACTCTAAATTATTGAAATCAATCCATGCTCTCAAACACTGGGAAACAAATGGCTCCTAGAATTGACAAGGAGTTAAGCATCAGTGCCATATGACATTGGAAAGGTTGCTTCCCCTAGATTTGAAATGAAGCCTTGATTACTTGGGCCTTGATTCAGCAAAGCACTTAAACATGTGCTTAAAAGCTTTGCTGAATGATGACCTTAAAACAGGGAGACTTACAATCATTTTGGTCTATTTACTATAAATAATATTATGGAATCACTGGAAACTTGCATGAGAAAATTCTCTGCATAGAGGTCTGGTTCAGGTTATGTGTAAAACATTTTGCACTTAAAAGCACAGCAGCAGGCAACCGTTTTGCAGCTTTCAGTGGATCCAGGACAAAATTGTCCCCTTCCTGGATTTTGGATTTGCTCCCTCTTACCTCTTGGCCCGTCAGCTCTGTTTGTCCTCAGGATTCACAGATCCTGTTACACAGACAGTTCCGTACCATACCAGTTAGAATCGCTGTCCTAATTATATTTTTTAAATAAAATGGTAACACTTTGAAGCATTTCTGGGGAAGGCCATAAACTTGTTGCCTCTGCTTAAAAGTGATAATCCCCCTTTAATACAAACCTGAAGCACCTATTTTTAATTGAACTTTTAGATGAATATCAAAGAGCTATTTATGCGTCTCTAATATTTTAATTAGAGTATATTCTCAATTTAACCCATTAAATCCCCTTTGATGATCTCCATGTTTAGTGCTTAGCCCCAGATGCTAGAGATAATGAATACTGGACCTTTTGATTTAATGAGAACTTCTGCCTTTCTAGCCTGTCTCCCTTTGTATCCTTTTTTTCCCTTCTCGCTATAGAATTCAGTTAATTGAAGGAGTCTCTCACCACCACACATTAAGGAGTCGAAATTAGCATCCCTTTTCTGATTAGAAAATGCAAGCAGACATTTTCCCTTTGATCTCAGGATTGAGTTGAAGTAGGCAACAGCCCCCTGAAAATGAGCTGATGGCCTTATTATTAGGCTAAAATGCAGATGCGTCCATGTGTTGCAAAATGCTTAATGTCTTAATTGATCACCTTCTTCACTGTTTGTCATCCTAGTACCTTTTATAGCTCATGTAAATTCGGGGGTGGGGGTTGCTGTTTTGTTTTGTTTTTAGAATAGTGACCTTTTAAGGAACATTAAAGGGCACCCACCAATTTCCCCTCACCCCCAATATTAAAATTTGATCAATAAGCCCTGTCATTAATAGGATGCTTCCCCATAGCAAAAAAATAAATAGTCCCATGAACACGATCATCTTGCAGACCATTTGCAAAGGATTGTATTTTCCCCAAGGTGAAATTTGAAAAGAGGTTATTTTCAGTGTGTGTGCAAAGGAAGTCTTTTGATCTGCTTTGATAGTCATGCAA